CTTTTGTGGAGCTGACCCACCTCCAACTACAACGGCGGAAACACCGTCGTCGGTGCGTTTTATTTTTCGGCTTCTGTATCGGAACTGCTCGGTAACGGGGTTCTGCAAAATTTACCGTTAGTGATGAGCCATAGATCGCGCACCATAAGAGCTGAGTCTTTCCTTCACTACCTCGAAGTGCGGAAGACGATACGGATTCAATGTTAATCATGTTCCTTATGGCGCGAGAACCAATCTACCAATAACGAGTCGTAATTGCGTGCCACTGCGGTGGAAATATTTCTCTGCCTTTTATGTCTGTTTCCCACGTTTCACACAGTAAACACGAAACTTTTAGGCATCATTCGTCCCATGAGAAAAGGACGCCGTTTACGCCATTGGTCTCACATCTGCTCCACCAGGACCAATTACACCCACCGTCAACGTTCTATTCCTTACCACGCCCAATTCACAAGCATTTGAACCGCTCGGATCCCACCCCCGTAACTATCACTCAGGCCTATTAATTTCAGGAAACTCTAAATGTCTCTAAATGCCAACCCTGAATGTTCGCGGAGCTGTGATATCTAGCTCACTAAACGCTCGTACTCTTCTTGTTATAGCTAGTCTCTCGTTTATGTAATTCTTTATATTAGCCATCAAAGGTAGGCACTCTCGTATAGTAAACCTAGGTAAAGTAAAAAAGTATGAGCACGCGCCAAGCTCAGTGAGCACACTTTTCGCTGCACCTTTTGTTTCTCAAAGAAAGTTCAAGTCTTCAATAGTTTTGCTTCACTTCTTCACCAACCAGCAAATTTTTTTAATTGGGAAAATAAAAAGATACAAACATAGCGAGAAATTTCCCATCTGACTGAATCCCGATACATTTAAAATGTAGAACGCCTAAATCGGGAAAAGAAAGCCGACCAGCATAAAATACACAGACAATGCTACTTCGTATAACTTCCAGATTGCTGGAAGCTAACAGCACTAATCGGCCTTCTAAACCCCATGGAAACTTGAAGGACCCCCAGCAAGCCGATAGAGTAACTGTGAACATGCAAATCCGTACAAACTGCTCCTCAACCATTTGTTCAACCACTCTACGCGTTGCACGGACCGTTGTCGTCTGACAGCGCGCAACGCGGTCCCTGCGCGGCGCAAATCGTCCATCACCGAGGATACACATCGCTTGCAAACCGGGTGACAATGGAACGATCTTTACACAAAGACCGCCTCTTGTGGCCAAATGCCTAAGCATGTGTATACCCTCCCCAAAGCTTGGATAACATAAGTTATTCCAGAAAATTTGTCAATCCTCGTCGACTGCGGCTCGCCTCCTCCTCCATTCCACTATCTCTTCAGTCTTATCATGGCTCTTATCGTTAGCTACCACCTTCATGATTTCACAAAGCCTATCTTCGAGCTCTTCTCCACTTTCTCGGCCCCATTTTAAACCCACCAGGGCCCTTGAGGTAGAATAGAAGAGGGACCATTTTCTGTAAGCGTATCCTCTCCGAAAACTCTTGGAAGAGGTCCACCCTTCACCCGCATTTTCCCCCGACTAAGACCATGACAAACCGCGACAATAATACCTGCCGATTGGGGACTACAGGCTGGGAACATACCCCGAGAACCCGATGCATTTCTTTCCCCACAATATATTGCCGAGACAGCAACATCCCAGAGGGAGTTCTCTACCTGTTCGAGGTCACTGCGAAATTCTTCCTAGGTCTACTCATATTCATGCTACGTAATTTCCCTTTAAACGCTTTGCCGCCGCTAGCAATTGTGTCACACAGACACAGAACAGTGTCATAGCGCCACAAGACCGATACCGTAATTTTGTTCGCATGAGCGATCGGGTTGCGACGATGTACAAACCCGTCGCAACCCCGGTCGCACTTGACAATTTCCGACGAAAAACGATTTGAAGAAGCTAATAAGACCACTTGGAATGTTTACTGCCTACGCCAATAGCTCTGCTGCGAAACAGTACACGTTCATAATCATAATTGCAAAGAGGCTTCAACTAGCGATATGCACGTATGTGTAGACCCCCCATTACGTGACATTCCCAAGGCACTTTTAAGCAAGCTTTTTGGAAGCCTGAGAAGTTAGCGAGGAAATCTCTCCGCCGGCGTAGACTACGGTTACCTCTCTCGGCAGGAATCAGGTGAAAAATTAGTGGTCGCAGGTGTGCGTTCCTTTCGTCGTGTGACCCCAAACATCACTGCTCGTCATGTCCTTGGGATATGATCAGTTTTTTTGCTTGTCCAGAAGGACCTTGGAACCTGAAATATGCACCATCCCATGAAAAATACTATCAAATGGTGTACAACTAGTGCACTCTACGAAACATGTGTTTTTCACCTTTTTCTCCCCATTAGCGATCGTCTTTCCAGCCCTTGGCGGCCACGTGCGATTCACGACCTCGCCGACCCTTTACCCTTCGCATCTTTCTCATTTGACTGTTTAACACGTTGACGACCGCGCTATTTTTCGCTCGGCGTTGGCGTGTGGGACCGCGCGCATTATTTTGACCGCGCGAGTGTGACATGGCACCATGTCAAACGGTCCCACAAGAACTCCTTTTACTCAGGAAGTGTGTATTTGTTATCTTTCTTGTGTGGTAGGTCTCCGATTATGCGATTTTGGCCATTTTAGCGATTCCTGTGATTTGATCATTATTCAAACATTTTTAGAAAAACTCGATAGCCCATCAACCGAAGCTTCTTTCCAGGGACCACGCCTTTTGTAACAATGCCTAAGTATGGCGCATACATCACGTAAATAAGTTACCTAAAATGTTTGAAAACCAGCTTAAAAAGACTGTGACATGACATCATGTCACACGGTCCCACGTGGCCGAAAGAGTGTGGTATGACATCATACCACACGGTCGTCAACGTGTAATTAATCCCTACTTAAGCTCAATTATCATTCGAAAAAGGTAAACAGCTGATATTCAAGTCATCAAATTTTTTCCCTCGACAACTCCAGAGCTAATCTACTGAACTCGCAGTGATAGAAGGCTGGCTAGACTGGACGGCGTGCGGTCGATTACTCGATCCCCTGGCCGTGCGTGTGGAAAACGCCGCTTCTTGCCACTCCGTCAGCTGCATATAACCAATAATGATAAAGGATCCTACTTACTATAAAGCGTTTCGTCTGTCGTTCTGTCTGCCGTCTGTCGTCTGCCGTTCTGTATGTCTGTCACGAAATTCCCTAGCTTCTGGGGATCCGGCCTGGAGAGACCGGGTCAAGTGTGGGATGGGTGGGCAAGGTCTCGCGAAGTACAAAACACACATCAGCTAAGCGGAGCCCCGCCCACAGTGGGCGTGGCGTGCATCGAAATGAGTGGTACTGACGACCAGGATTTCACTATACCAAAACAGCCTCGAAACTGGGGAAAAAGTGGGTAAAGGTGTGCATTGGTAAGTCAGATCGAACTAAGGAGACCCACCCCCGGTGGGCGGGGCGTTCTCAAAAAAAGCAGTGCTTAACAAAAAATTCATAACTCGGTTGGGAGAAGCCTACAGAGCAGAAAAAATTGGTGCAGGGAAGCAATGTCTAAGGTGTTTCCCAGCATACATGACGTGGGCGGAGGCCCGCCCACAATGGGCGGAGCGCGCTCTGAAGTGTACAGCATTTTCTACAAGTCCTCATAATTCGGGCAGAAGTCTTAGGGAGCCGGAAAAAGGTGGATAGAGATGGTGGAGTGGAGGCCAACTGTCGGCGGTGGGCGGGGCATGACCAAAGTGGGCGGAGTTTGCGACGAAAATTCATAACTCGGTTCCAAGAAGTCCTGGAGGCCGGGAAAAAAGTGGGTAGAGTCGTCAAAGGAAGGAGGCCAACTGCTATTGGTGGGCGGAGCGTGCACCAAAGTGGGCGGAGTTATCCACAAAAATTCACAACTCGGTTCCAAGAAGTCCTGGAGACCGGGAAAAGTGGATCAAGTCTGACTATGAAGGTGAAGTCAATTGCCATTGAGGGGGGGGAGGCCCGCACCAATGTGGGCGGGGTTCGTCAAAAATTTCGTAGTTTCGTTCCAAGAAGTCCCAAAGACCTTCCGTTGGCGGACTCAGCTCTCTTTTTCCCGGTCTCCTAGACTTTTCGGATCTGAATTATAAGTTCAGGACAAATTCCGCCCACGTTGGTGTACGCCCCACCCACGATAGCAGTTGACCTCCTTTCCATTGACGGACTCGATTTCTTAGCTGGATTCTATCCGCTCCATAGTCGATGACTTTGGAATTCTCTTTCTTCGTCAACCATTATTCGCTTTTCCCGGTCTCTGGACTGCTTCTTGACCGATTTATAAATCTCTTCGCAAACAGCCTATTTCGGTGCAGCCCCACCCATCTTTTTCTTCCTTGCCTCCCACGTTTGCCGATCTTTAGAACTCCTAGAAATACATAATAAGTCCGGCAACAAACTCCAGCAACTTTGGTGCGTGCTACGCCCACCAATAGCATTTGACCTCCTTTCCTTTGACGGACTCACCCCACTTTTTTCCCGGTCTCCAGGACTTCTTGGAACCGAGTTATGAATTTTCGTCGCAAACTCCGCCCACTTTGGTCATGCCCCGCCCACCGCCGACAGTTGGCCTCCTCCTCCACCCACCTCTATCCACCTTTTTCCGGCTCCCTAAGACTTCTGCCCGAATTATGAGGACTTGTAGAAAATGCTGTACACTTCAGAGCGCGCTCCGCCCATTGTGGGCGGGCCTCCGCCCACGTCATGTATGCCGGGACACCTTAGACATTGCTTCCCTGCACCAATTGTTTTCTGCTCTGTAGGCCTTCTCCTAACAAAGTTATCATTTTTTTGTTAAAGGCACGAGTCAGGCTTGACGGACCAAACCAATCCCTTTTGTCGTCTTTGTGCATGTTTTGGCCGCTCACTGTGATCTCATATCACCATGAATGGGGTATATAAACCCCACTCATAGAGTAAGGTTCAGTTATTGTTCATCCTTCATATGAATAAAGGATTCAAGAGGAGGCAGTGTTCACAACATGGCGACCACGACACCCGAGAAGAAGCTGCAGTTAGAAGACACGACAGAATGCAGATCTTCAGCACAGTATCCTACGATCCAGAAAGCGGAGTTATCCTCCAAAACACGTGAGTACCATTACGATCATAGTAGCATGTTCGACTCCGCTAGCTCACAAAAAGGAATCCAAGGAACTCTACAGATGAACTTTTTGGACGCTGCCTTACTTTCGAGGCTAGACATGCCCAGTTTTTCCGGCAACCTTCTTGATTTCCCCACGTTCTGGTCAAGGTATAACGCTCTGGTCCATTCAAAGATAGATCTTTCGGATGCAACAAATAGTTTGGTCTCTGTTGAAAAGTTGCCTGAGAGGGCAAGCGTTACAATCCATCAAAGGAATCCCCGTAACCGACGAAGATTATCGTACGGCTGTCGACATTCTTCATCAAATGTACAACAACCCCTCAGCCCTGCGCCACCTGATTTACACGGAACTCGCAAATCTTCCACAGTGTGATCAGGAAGGGAAACGACTTCAAGAAATTTATCTGAAAATGCTACGTCTTATTAGGCAAATACACTTCCATCACCCCAGGGTCGCCGGAATACGGGCTCGGGCGCTACTATATAATAAATTGCCACGATTCGTTCAGTCCAAGATATACGACATAACAGGAGGACAGAGAGGCCTCACACCAAACCAAATAATTGATCTCCTCTCGGACGTGGTGGGAAA